ATAATGGTTAAATAAATCCTATAATGGAACACTATATGTTACATGTCCCGAGACAATGTAAAAATCTGCATTCTCAAATGAGATGCAAATAGAGGGGTATGTTACATTGGGAATAACGTCAAAACTCACCTTGAAATGGGAATGTTGTATTACTTGTCCCGAAACATATCGTAAAAATTTGAATTCTCAAATGAGATGCAAATAGAGGGTTTGTTTTGTTTGGAATAATGGCTAAACAGATCCTGGAATTGGAATGAGAATGTTATCTGTTACGTCTCGAAATGCAAAAATATGTATTCTCAAATGAAATGAAAATATAGGGTTTGATCTGTTGGGAATAATGGCTTAACAGACCATGGAAAGACCTGCCCCGAATCGTAATGCAAAGGCCTGTTGTATTCTCGGATGTTATACAAATATAGAGGGTTTGTTAGGAATTGCAGCAATACAAGACTCTCTAGAGTTGAATGAACTCATTAAGTCTGAACTGGATAAAATCTTAATGATTGGTTTCTGTAATTCCTATATTTTTGTATCAGTGTCACAATTGCTTTGCGCCTTTGTCAGGTTTGGTAATATATCCTTTAGCTCTGTATGGCAATTCCTTCTTTTTATGATCAATGTCTCAGTTTTAAGTTTTCGACTCACAAAGGTAAATTCTTGGATCAACCCATAGAATTGGTTTCAGAATTGTGTAATAGGTTTACTAGCATACATATGTCTTTTATACTTTGTTCCGTATATGATCAATGTCCCAGTTTTAAGCTTTCTGTTTCATGTCAGGGAGCTCTTGGTTTAGTTGCATACATCTGTCGTTTAATCTTCCGCTGACAAAGGTAAGTTCTTGGACTGTACCATAGCATTGATTTCAGAGTTGTGCAATAGCTTATGCTTTTGTTTAAAAACGTTTTTATGGTGTGATGTAAGGTTGAATTGCAATAATGACAGCTTTCCATGAAGAGAGAGGTAAATAAGATAGTGAAATGCTACTTTGTTGATGTTATATTACCTTTCTTATGGAAGAATGTATGTGTGTTGATATCTTATTTTTTTATTATCTTGAGGTTTACCCTAAGAAAACACAATCGTATAACACTCTAATGTTCTACAGATTACATTTTATTGACGTAGGATTATTACTATATGACATAGGTTTGTAAAACTACTTTGTTTCCTTATAACGTATCTTACATTCTCAACTGCTTCGACCAGGGTTTCTGGAAGGAAGATGTACCATTAACAAGATTGTGAGTATTAATTTGGATTCATTTGTTTACGTTATGTTTTCTCTTATGAAAGAAGGAACATGTGTTGATGTCTTATCTTTATTATTTGGCGGTTTTATGCTGGTAAAACACATATACATATTCTATAGATTACATTGGTTGATGTAGGATTATTATGTGACATGGAGGATTTAACACGTGTTTCGAAGTAATTTTGCTTAGGGTGGGCGTTTTAACCCGTAACACGCGGGTTAGAAGGTACCCGATATAACAAGTACCCGAATAAAAGGTATCCGAATATTAACGATAATGAGATCGAGTATTAATGAGTCTAAATTTTTGACCCTCAGTCCGAGTTCGAGTTTCAATTATTTTACAAGGAATATCCGGTATATTTGTTAAAAAACTAAAATATCTTATATTTATAATATTTATCTAAATTATTCTTATTATTTATTAAATTACTTTTATTTAGTTAATTTATTTTTATCTTCTAAACATTTTTATCTAAAATTCTACCATTCTAAATCTTATTTTATCTTTTTTTT